CCTGTAGGTGAAAATAAAGACAAGGAAGACGTGTGGATTAGCTGATATAAACACTTCTTACTCTTGAATGGACTGTATGAAAGATTCCACTGAGGCCCATATCCTGTACCTCTTAGAGATGGGGCCCAATCATTCTGTATCCAGACATTGGACGGGAGGATTTCTGACTGAATGGTGCTGACTGAAGAGAAAGGAAGCCTGCTTCTAGGGCATTGCTATGTCTACCTCAACGAACGTTGCATACAAGGCATGGTCAAAGCATCTAAAACAATGAAGACCTAAGATTTCACTGAGTATACAAGCTTTGCTCCTGATTTGCTAATAAGCGTTTATCTGATAAATATCTGACTATGTGATAGAATCTGGACTTGACTTGCTTTCATTTTAATCTGGTAATGAGGTTGTAGGAGAGAAACTATCTCTCAGCATTTCAAACTTCTTGGGTGGCCACCATTATCTAACCAAAAAAGTGAGAGCTTGGCCGAATTTGGCTCCCCAATTAAAAAGAATGCTATGAAATCTTTAATAAATCATCTCAAAGTCTTTTAGAAAGAAGCAGATATGTTTTTGTGATTAAGAAAACTATTCTCTGAATATCTGTTTCCAAAATAATCTTTGCTTTCTGCAAAACAAGAGGACCAAAAATAGTCTACACAGCTCAATAAAAAAACATTTGCACACTTTAAGGTACAAAAGAAACTCTTTACAAATAAAAAACATTTAAATTATACATGAACTTCCTGGTTGAAATTAGAAATGCACCCGAGATCAAAGGTCAATGATGCTTTACGAGAAAGCTCGAAATACAATGAAGTGAGTTATAATTCAATTTTATAACAGCATTTTAAGAAGAGATATAAGAAATTGCATTTGATCTCTTTGTTGCCAGCAACTGAATCTATAGTTTAAAGATTTGAATAAGGTAGTCCCCTCTTATCCATGTGGTATATGTTCCAAGAGCCCCAGTGGCTGCCTGAAAACGCGGATAGTACCAAATCCTATCATATACTATGTTTTTTTCCTGTATACACATATTTGAGGTGCGACAGCAAAACTAGCATGAATTTCTTTTTCCTTCTTCACAATTTCAAGGATGGAGGATTCATTCTTACCATAGATCTTAGCAACCTCAGCATACAATTTTTTTTCTTTCCTTATTAAGTGGTGGACTTTCACCTTTTCATCTAAAGGAAGCACTTTACGGCTTCTCTTTGGCATACCCGAACTACCGGCATCACTCCTCTTGTGCTTTGGGGCCATTATTAGGTAAAATAAGGTTGACTTGAACATGGGCACTGCGATACCGAGACAGTTGATCGGATAACCGGGGCAGCTACTAAAGGACTTAGTGCAGGTGGTGTATACAGTGTGGATCAGAGGAACAAAGGGATGATTCACGTCCCCGGGGGAATAGAGCTGGAGGGCGAGAGATTTCAACACGCTTCTCAGAACAGTGTGCAATTTAAAACTTATGAATTGTTTATTGCTGGAATTTGCCATTAATATTTTCGGACCTCAGTTGGCTGTGGGTAACTGAAACTGCAGAAAGCAAACCGTGGATAAGGGGAACCACCGTACATCATATTTTAAACAATGGCTTATTTCAGCTTGTTTCTATCCCAACTGAAAAGAAAGCAGAGAAACTCAGTAGTGAGATGTTCGAGTCAATTATATTTCAACAAGCAATTCAGAGAAAGATCCCAGGATGACACTTCAGGATTATTCTGGACATCAGCATCAAATACCAGTTTTCACACGAACTGGCTGTGACAACTCTCGGAGGCAGTACCAAACAACTTGTTCATATAGTAACCCTCTCAGAAGTTTCCATTTTTTCCAAGTGGGGAGCACTAAAGCATCAATCAAAACTTACCACGAATGTCAAAGATAGGAATCTGATCAATTACAAAATGCCCACAGCAGCCAAGGGGTCCTACACACAACCTACATAAAATACTGCAGCCACCGATCAATATTTTACTTTTTAACAATGCTTTCCTGGAGGTTATACAGATCATAAGTGTATATAAATAATACATTTTGTGTTTCTTCTTCTTTTTTTTGAAAAATCATTAATCCCAAATACAGTAAAACAGGAGTAGCTTTTCACATACAGCTATTTCACATGTAAAATGAAGTAGGGCCCATTTCATTCAATTCAGCAAATATGTCATAATAAAATATATGATTATTCTCCCTGGAATAAACTTGATATTGTTGAGAGTGACTGTGAATAAAATCTCTCCTAATCACTCCCTAATGAATTGTCCTACCTTGCAAGATCATCTACTCAGAGCTAGTAAAGCAAAATGAACGTAGCATAAGAGAAAACCAATAATTTCTCATTTTCTTCATCACCACCACCATCTACCACCCACTCCTCCCCACCAGCATCAACAACTGTAGCAGCAAAAATTAGCATAGTCCAGCTGGAACAGAACCACTCTGATCCCCAAACCACATGGAATCCATTTTGCAGTTAATTACCTGCGGAGAAACCAAACCACACTAAACTTTCTTTTTTTAAGTAAGCCCATACCAGCGATTCCTTATAATCAGAAATGAAAAGTAAAGCTAGACTTGTCTTATCTTGCCTTTGATGTTCATAATATTCACAGATATCAAAAAGACATTTTCATGAAAAAACAGACACTGAAAATCTGGGGAAGCCAAAATGAGCAAACAGAATGTAATTTCTCAAGACTTGTAGTTTCTGACTATTACTACCATTTAGACCTACACAATATGCTAGTCACTGGCTGCACGTAGCCATCAAGCACTGGAAATGCAGCTAGTCCAAACTGAGACATATTGTAAGTATAAAATACACACCAGATTCTGAAGACTTAATAAAAACAGATTGTAAAATATTGTATTAACATTTTAACATATTAATTATATGTTAAAATTGTAATTTTTTGGATATATTGAGTTAAATAAATTATTAAAATTAATTTCATTTGTTTCTTTTTACTTTTTTAAATGTGGCTACTAAAATATTAAAATTACATACGTGGGCTGCATTATCTTTCTATTGGACAGCAATGATTTAGACAGTAACTCTCCATGTGGTAAACCCTGCAGAAAATTATACTATTCTACCATTTGGCTCAGAATTTGTAAAAACTTTGTCACACAGCATGAAACAGTTTTCAAAGCATATTTCCCATCAAAGATCATTCAGTTTTCCATATTCTAATGAGGGACACAACTTAAGAGCCTTTGGAGGGTAAAAAATGACAGGTAGGGAGGCTTTGGTGGAAATAATTACGGGCTCAAGCTAACTCTAACTCCACACACAGTTTCTACTTCAGAAGAAACGCTCCTTTTCTGCGTGGAGCTTCAAGAACCGACAGTTCAAGAATTGTGGGTAGGTATTAACAAGTGAATGAGCATTTCTAAGGAATCTGAAGCCCTGCCCAGGTGAACAGCCAAGAAGGGAAGGGTGAGAGGAGTCAGTTAATAATTCCCACGGCTGGTAGTCCCATCTTCTCTCTGTCATCTCCACTTCCTTCCTGCACTTCCTCCTTGCTTTCCTGTTCTTTCCCAGCTTGCAGCTGTGTTTACCTTCGTTTTTCCCTCTGCTGGTTATTTTGTACATTTCTTTCTCCTCTCCCAATTCCAACTGCATTTCCCTCACCTTCAGTCTTTCTCCCTTCTTCCTCTGTCTTTTCCTTTTCCTATGTACTTCTTTTTTAAATCGATGCTAAATAGTCATAAGGTGGACCTCTTACATATTTTAATAGACTTTATATTCTCTCACCTTATGTTTTTTTAGGAAGAAAAGACACAAGAAATGGGAAAAACACTAAACATTCAAATACATGAAACTGTTTTTTGATTCTACAGGGCCCTTTATTGGGTTGTTACTCTTTTTGTTTTGTCCTTCCAGGTTGGTGACCTCCCCCTTGAGCCCTCCCCCTGGCCTACGGCAATACAGTTCAGGAAGAAATCTTCATCACAATCACGTAAGCAGTATCTTTGGCCCTTCCCAGATCCCAAGTTCTCTTGGTGAGAATCAGCAGTCTTAGGAGTGTAGGTTAGCAAAATAAACAGAGGATCCACAATCTTTGACATTGATATATGTCCTACAAATATCTAAAATTTCAAAAGAACCACCTGGAAAGTGCATTTGATTTTTTAAAAATGACAGCTTATGGAAAAAAAGTTCTGTTATTGGCTTTAGTATTTGAAAATTAAAAAGTTGAGAAAAGAACTGGCCCAAATTGATTGACAAATATTATCAAAGTAGTCGTTAACAGAATTCCTTTGAGGTTGGAGTAGGTTAATTTAAGGTTGCTATTATGAGTTTCCTGGAATGTATTTCAGATTAGTTTAGTAAAGAGAGCTGACAGTCATTGCTGGAAAAACCATGGTCATTTAACGCAAGTCAATTCCTCTAAGTAGGACCTACAGTTTTACATTTTGTTGAAAGTGACTATGCAGTGAAAGAACTGCCATGTTGGTTAAGTATTAAAATACTTTATGGTTAAATAGAATTTTTTAAAAGGCGTAAAACCTAAAGTTGCTTTCACCTAACACTCTCTTCAATTATTGCCTACAGACTTTTTTTGGATGGATTTTTAAGAGCTGTGTTACTCTTGTAAGCAATTTATAGTTGACTTTTAGGAATGAGTATGTTAGTAAATTAGACCCAAAGACAGGCAATCCTAATACAATTAGGATAATGAATCAAAATTTGTGCTTTTCATGTGCTAAGGCTTTGAACTCATAGAGCTTTGATACAATGTTTAACAAACACATATTTTTTTCTATTATAAACAGCTTCTCAATCCCCAGGAAATTAAACCAAGGGAATGTATTTCTGGACAGTTATAGGCCATACTTTTATTCAGAAACCAGAAAACTAATTTTGTTTTTAAAAATAATTTTGTGAGAAGATCCCCGCTTTTTCTAGAATAAATGTTTAGATTATCAATAACCATCTTTACGTCAAAACACAAACATGCAAAGAGAATCAGAATAATTGCCAGACGTACCTTATTATGTGTCTGAGTCTGGCCAACCAGGATGAGGATGTTGGAGGATATGATGGACAGGCAGAAGTTAATGAGAATTATGGACCTCTCAGAGCGGATGTACCTATCCAGAGAGAGAAAGAGGGTCCAACTTTAAAATTCAATGGAAAGATGAAAAATTCTACATTATGAAAATCAGTGGGATTCATCCAGAAAAAGAAATGCTAAAATGCAGCCTTTATGGGAGAAAAAAAATATGAAAAATAGTTGTTTTAAATAAAGATTATTCTTAAAGACCCAATTTTAGAGTGACATGGCATGCCCAAGAGTACCTCAGAGTTATTTTTGTCTTCAGACATTAGTGTGGACAACGTGGCCTTTCCAACAGAGCTTAAGTTGCACATCTGTTATCAGTATAAATTTTTTTTTACTATAAAATTTCTTGGAAATACGTCAATCGATATAATCACCTTTACATATATGTGTGTATATATGTTAATTATTATCATATAAATCAACCAATAGAAATTCTAAGAACACAAAAGAAAAGCTCCACCCAGATTCTGAAGTGTCCCCCTGTTTACTAGAAAGATGCCATTCCTTTCATGAAACCATGAACACTTTCATCCACCATTTCATCCACTCAAGTATTTTTATGTATTCAGGCTGTTACTCTTTGTGTTTTACTTTTCTTGAATAATTGTTCCAAAAAATTCAAAAAGCACATGAATCTTTATCTCTAGAAACTAATCCAAACCACAAATGGTAATTCACCTTTATGCTGGAAGACTACTTGGCCTGTGCCATATTTTACCCTAATGATGAAGTGTTTGTATACGGTCTATTATATAATTTTTAAGCACCTCAAAAATGTTAGCTATGGAGAAAACTGCTCAAAATCAAATGTTCTACCAGCTGTTTACCGTGAAAGAGTAAAGATATTTTGCATTACTGTACACCCTGTGGTAAATCACTGAGTGACCGTAACAAACAGACACACTTGTACTTGCTATGTGTTTGAGACTGTTCACTCTGTATAAGAACATGGACTCACTTTCCACAGCAGGCCTGAGCTTTCCCGTGCAGTGTCAGATGGGGGTGTCAGAGATCTGGAGATACTCTTTGGAAGGTAAAACCTATCAAAGTTCTTTCTCTCTGTCTTTGAGGAATATTTAGGCAGAAGCCCCACATTCCATCACATATTTCAGAAAAGAAGGCAAATCAAAAACAGGAATAACAATAAAATGTAAAAAGCATTTTTTTTAATATAAAAGAAATTTCTCTTCCTTGCAAAACAAACCCGAAGAGGACTAACCTAGGTCGATTCTCAATACAAAATGGCCTCAAGAGTCACTTCACCTTGTCCCTGCATCATCAGTATCTAAAAATATAATAAATCACACGCTGGGATGCTGAAGACATCATCAAATATCAAGTTGTTTCTTTTTTCTGGGTGGGGGATGTAACATAAAAAGTTTAAGGGCTGGATGAAATTGACCCTTTATGTGATGCTAATGGCTTCCATGACAGCACAAGCACACAACTGACATTATTAAAAGAGCTTCGGTGATAATATTTGCTTTGTAAATAGGAAAATCATGATAATAAAAGAATCAGACTGACCACCCTGAAGAGTCTTTAGATGTTTCCAATTTCATTAATATTGAGTCACATTATCGCCTTAAAAATTGTTATAAAATGTCCCAACTTTCGAAACTTTTTATAAACGTGTTTGATGTTTTAAACAAAATTGTGAATGCATCATTTCAATACACAGATTAAAAGAACAGTCTCAGTTGCTCTTTGATGTAATAATATAACTCTACAGAACATATCTGTAGAAGGAGAGAACATGGTGTATTAATTTTTTGATGAACATTTGAACTACATGGGACACCAACAAATTTCAACATAGTGTATTACATATAAAATAATTCTGATGTTCACACATTTTACAAATCATTAGAAATTCAAAAACATTAAACTTTCTAATTAGAAAAAAGGCAATAGGATCCTAACATGAGTATTACCATACCGTAATGTTACAAGGTAAATTTAATGTTTATAAAATGCATTGAATTCGTCATGCTACAAGATTCGCTTAATAATCTGAGTCTTGAAATTTCTACCAAACTATTAATATTCAATCCTTCTATTTGTAATGGCAATGAGTTGATGGCTACTAACTGTTAGGAATCCAAATTTATGTTGTTTCTTGGTACTCTCTTCTATATTTCTCAGTTTCACATTAAGTTTTGATTGATAGATCCTTTCAGGTGTCTTGGTAATTACTAGAAAACTATTGTAATAGGCGATTTTCCTGGATTTTCTGGATTAAAGAAAACTTTATTATGGACTAACTACCCCTGTACTTCTTTGATAAATTTCATATACAAACATATAAATTTTATATAAATTTCATATAAGTATATGTATTAATTCTATGTACCATTTACACTGGCAGTACTTGTGTCAGTGTTAGCCACATGTATTGAGGGGTGAAGAGAAGCTGGAATTGGTGCCTGAAACCTAAATGTTGAGAAGTGGAGCTTGGTTCTAATATTTCAGTGAGTATGAATTATGATGCTACTGTGATTACCTAGTATCCTGGCCCAGAAACTCTGCCTCACTTTGCGAGAAGTGTCACTCAGGAAACTGTGGAAGAGAAAGTTGTCTTCCTTGTCCATCTTGCTCTTGCATTACTGGGACAACGCCTGCTCAACTGAGCCCTGAACCCTGGATTCTACCGTCTACCATGCCATGCCTAAACCAAGCATTTCTTTCATTTCATAGGATTGGCCATATTTTATTAGGTTGTCTCACTTTATCAGTATCTCACTACCAGATGACTCCTTCACAGGAAGGAAGGACCTCTATTATGTTCCTGCTCCGTGTGCCAATGGAGTAAGAATGTATACATGCTTTATTTTTGTATGAAGCATGAAAATTTTAATATCGTTGACAATTTAATATCCTGGACAATTAATTCTTGTCCTCAAAAGAATATAAAACATAATGGAGAAAAAAGATGTTGACTCAAATGACCTTTCCTTATTAAATTGTACTTAATTTTTCAACTTAATTGTTTTCTATCTTAAGTAAAAAATAAGTAAAATACTAGGACTGGCTATTTTTGCAATTGTAATATTGCAAATATTCAGGAAATAATATGTAATTATCTATTTACTAATATAGTAACTCAATAGAACTTTTTAAATAATCAAAATAGATATAAAAATGTTTAATATTTAAAATTTTAAAAATCCATTAGGAAGTTTGGCCATCTGGTTTATATACTGGTTATCAATATGTGAATAGACATAATAAACCTCACAGGTCTAATTCTTATTAAGAGAATAAGTACAAATCTTAGAGAAATACTAAATTTTCATAAAATACCAGCAGATGCCATTTCAAATACTGTAGAACAAAATATTCCAATCATTTCTCCTTATTTATGTATTTTTCTGGCTTCTTTTAATCAATTTGTCAAAACGTGACTCATTGGAAACATTCAACAAAGAGGCCTTTTCTAGAGCATTGTGGTATTATGTTAGTGCATCAATGTTATAGGAGATTTTACTCATTGTCTGGGACATACAGAAAGCATGTGTTAAAACTTAAGAATTTGGAGACCATATTTCTATAACAGAGAAATTTGACTGCACCAATTAAACTCCCAAGCTCACTAGCAATTGGGACAAATGGAAACCACATGTAGACTGAACTTGGAGTATAAGAGCACCAGGCGTGGGGGGAAGCAACTTGTTTCAGGCTACCATCATTTGAATTGGGAAGACAAGTGTGTGTGTGTTTTGTTTATTTTCTCATCATAGGCAAAATAGACAAGATAAACACTCATGTTATTTATTATTATTGAGCTCATTTATTATAGTTCAATAACAGCAATTATAACTCTGTTCTAAAAATACTTATTTCAGTAAATTAAGAAGCCAGGAGACATATAATGGTTCTCAGGATCCCTGATTTAACTCTGAATGACAGAGAATCCAATTTTGAGTGTATTAATTGATTACATACCTCCACAGTGCTGCATAGACCACGGCTAGGGTGACCAAGGCCAGGCAAGAGAGGCCACTGCCTACTATGAGGGTAACTGAAGGTGCACCAGAGGATTCCATGATCTGCCAAGTAAACAAAATAAACAAAAAAAAGAGAGAATTTGTTAACCAGTTAAAAAAACTTCTAAGTCAGAAAACTATCCTAACACTCAAAAATAGCCAATATAGTTGTTATAGCTACCAGATAATTACCCAGTAACCACCCTGTTCACATATTCTCAACCTCTAAAATGACTAATTCTAGCTCCTCCCTCTCTCCTACTGTGAAGAATAAAGGCCTTAGAGTTTTAAATGCTTGATTATGGCATATTACCCACTTATGGCTTTCCAAAATAAAAAACTGAAACTACAACTTGGTCAACATTCACATGTTAAATTTTCTCTAGCTGAAATTTGAAGCAGCATTCATTTTTCTTCAACTAACTATAGTTCAGTTTTTTCACATGTTTTTTGGTAAAATTTACTTTGATCCTCACATTTACAACCCGTTATGTTACCTAAATCTGGTACCTAGATATTGAAAAATTTTCAAACTTTCTGACTTTTGACAACTTTGTTCTAAGTCAAATATTCTCTCATTTATTTTCACTTATTTGGCCTCTAAGGATACAGAAGAAAATCAAATTTCAAATGCAAGACCTTGGAATATATTTTGTGATTTTTTTCCATGAACAAAATATGTAGAGATAATTTTCACAATGCTAGTATCAGTCCCTAAATATGTGACCTTGAAAAATAAGCCTTATATCTTTTAAAACATGTATAAAGATTAGAAGTAGTCACTGATTTGAGAGATTTCTTCCGTTAGACACTAACATGATGCTAACTAATGTAATCTGTTGTTTTTCATATTTTTAATATTGGAATTTTGAAGAAATGCACTTTAAGATCAAGTGTGTTCCATACCTTAGATATGCACATTAAATTATATTAGGTATTTTTTTTGTCATCAAAATAAGTAAGAAGAGTGATGATATTTAGATAGAAAGTCATATTTGTTTTAATAATTATTTTTCAGGATTTCAATTTTTGAAATAATTTTTCAAAATACATTTGATGAGGATATTATTTTTCTTTTAGACAGTTTATGCAGCTGTCTATTTCAGAAACTAGTTTTATAAACCTATATACTTTTAAGGAATGATTTTACAGTTTCTGACAGTCCATGCTTTCATGAAAACTTCATTTAATTTTATAAAAATAAAAATCCCAGGACACCCCCAGAAAACCTGTACTGAAAATATCCAATGCAGATATGCAATGTGTTTGGCTATAGTGTCTGGGGTCTTCATTCTACTACCAACAGCATTCCCACAAATTCCCCAGAACAGCTTTCCAGTTCTAAAATAAAGATTAAGTGGACAATTATTTTTATTTGAAAGTTTGCAGCATATTAGTAATGTGATTGGAGTACATCCTCAAAACTATACTGCAGAAATTTCAAGTTAGAAGACATAAAATTGAGTAGAATTTAGTTACAGCACACCAACTAGAATTCATCTCATCAAGCTACTGTAGCTAAGGAAGAGACGAACCCAAATTTGCCTCCTTTGCAACATTTTCCATTTCCCCATTTAAAATGCAGTTCCCTGGAGAAACACTCGCCACAATGTCTCTGCCTTTGCATTAAAGCCGTGTTTTCCCTTTGTTACTTACTATTTCTCTAGGTTGCTGAGCCAAAATGGCGAAGGTAGAGAGACGATCACATAAGCATTTCGTATGGGATGCATCGGTAAGCACAGTTTTACATCCCTGGGTGGACCACGTTCCCACAGACTCGTTCCTGCAAAGGGGGGGAGATCGGGATAAATACGCCTGACGGTCAAATCCGTAAAGAAGAAAATGCAGTTTAACTGAGAGAATCGTCTACTGTAATTCCCGTACAGGAAAAAAAAAAATCTACTTGTTGTTGAACAGGACGTAATTTAGATGCATCTCCAGTAATGCAAAGCGAGTGTTTGGAAAAAGCAGGCAGGCGGCGGTGCGGCGTGCAGAGAGCTGTCCAGCGCCGGAGGTGCTGAAACCGGGACTAGCTCTGTCCAGCCCTCTGCGAGGAACGGCGGCGGCGGCGGCGGCACGAGCAGCCGCCAGAGCGCTGGCAGCCACTTCCTATGCTCATCGGATCGTTTCAAACACTCACAGAGTAAAGAGGCTTTTTATATTTTCATACCAGCTCTGTTCCCCGTCTCGTATTTTTGGATCGTGAATGCTGGCTTTTAAAATGAGGATTTCTCTGAAAAGCTTGCCTAAAAGGTTATATAGCTTGGGTTGGGTGATAGGATCTTCTCCGTTGCTGGTTAGGGATTTTTCCTCCCTTTAGAATTAGCTGCTGTGAAAATTTCACCCTGGAAACGGGAAGCAGCAGCAGCGGCATCAGCTGGTTCCAACTCTCATTGCCTTTGCATGGTATCCAGGGGAGGGGTGGGTTTCAGACAAGCTTCCCACTCCACACTTCACTCAGCCCAATGCGCCTCTGAAGCCCTTGACATTTCTTCCTCTAACCCGCCTCTTTGCCCTGGTAGAAGCATTAAGCTAACCCCAAGTCTGCTAGAATATTTAGAGGAAGAACCCCACCCCAAAGTCCGGTTGGAGGGGGAAAGAGGGCCTGCTTCAATTTTCTCTTTGGTGTAGCCATTCAAAATTCTAAAGCATATGGTTTATTTCCCACCCCAGCAGAACAATAAAAGTGGTATCAACCTACGCCTTCTTAGTGGGGGGGAAGGATGGGGGAGAGCCCTTCCACCCCCAGCTGAACTACTCCACAGGAAGAGGAAGAAAAGAAAAAAAAAAGCTATAGAGTTCAACCAATCAACTTTATCATCATTACACGTGTTATATACTGAATGCACCAATTGTCACCTCCCCTCCCCCACCATGGAAACTCTCCAACTTGCAAAGCTGTGTGTATATGTGTGTTTAAATTTCAAACCAAGTTACTATCTGTATTAAAAATTACTCTAAAACTTGAAAAGGATAACCCATGGCTTGAAGTTAATTTTGATATGGTACTTCTGATTTCACCTACTCTGTCTCTGAATGCCTAGAGCTATTGGGTTAAATATGCATGCAGTCTATTTGAGAGATTGCAGAGAGAGCTTCTCTGTGACAGTTGGACCTCCAAGTCGAGCTACAGAATATAATTCACACTTGTACCTTCTTGGTATCTAGAAGCAATATCTTTTTAATATTCATAATTGATATCATTAATAGTAATGACTCAAAATACTCTTAATTACAACTTCTTTTAGGAAGGAATACACTGTATTTGGGGAGAGCTACATAAAAATTATAGCTAAGTTCACCCAAATACTTCTAAGCATTAGCCAATTCAAAACTTGGTAGGTCTCCTTTCTTTCTCATGTGGTCATGCAACTATGGCAAATTAAAAAAAATATTTCAGTTACACTTTCAACCAACTGCAACAGTATTAAATTCCAATTATACCTAACTATAGCAGCACTTCAATTTATTTCATTGGCTGTCTGTCTCTTATCTTCTTGTGACAAACAGTTAAGGCCAAATGAAAAACATTTATCTTAGCTGATTAAAGTTTAAAGAAGAAAGATACACTTAGGAGAATCTGACATATTTTAAAACATAACATCTGCATTATTCATCCTGGATGGCAGCTTTACTTTAATGCAGAGTCTGTACTTTCAAGATGAAGTCCAGTACTTAGACTTTTCACATTATGTGGCTATGACCACTAAACCAATTCAAAGTCTTAACAAGGAAAGAACTTTACTGTAAATAAGACCTCATATGAGACAAAGTTATATATTTATAGCCAGATAATGAAAGTTTGTTTACTTAAGAAATTGTTAGCATCACTAAACTTTGGTTGTCAGATGTAAAGTCTATGTCCAATATAATGTTGTTAGAATCTGAAGATTCTGTAAAATTTATGTGACATCTTTAGAAAAGTAGGTCAACTTACTTTCCTTTGTACAGTGATTGCATTGCTGACCTGGCCCAGCCCCAGGCAAAATTGGGAAGTAAGTTACACTGGTCTCCATGTTTTATTCTTTTATTCCCCGCAAGTATGAACTGCTTCTAATCTCACTGGGCCCCTTTTCATGTGTACCTTCTTGAGGTTACGTAACCTCTGTCCTTACCTTTCTTTGAAATTATTAACCTTTTATTGACTTTATCTGATTAAATTAATGCATAATAATAAGTGTGACTGAGTATAGCTTCTTGTGCTCTTCCCAGTTTAAAACAAGATATAAAACACAAAATAAGGCATCTGATCAGAGAACACCAGAATTTGGAGCAGATGTGTAGGAGAGAAGATCTTGAAAGGTGAGGGGGAAACTACCAACTTTTACATTTGGTCACTCCCAAGAGTTGAGTCATAATAAGTGTGATGCCATTCTGATGCTAAATTCTACATTGTTTCATAAAATCGCTTGATATTTTAAAACCATGTAAAATTCTTAGGAACTAATTTTTAAAATCACTAGCATACATATCACTATTATTACAAAACCTATAGCATGTATCACCTGTATTTTCAAACATTTCACAGCTTACTCCTACTCTAAAAAATTCTTTGAAAACATGGTATACATGTCTGATTGATTTCAGGGAGATCTTGTAAAGCAAATTGGTGTAGTAGAGCTAATGTGAAGCAAAACTGCTTCCCCAGTCTGCACTGAACAAGGTTTTAAACATGTGGACCATTCCAGCAGTCACATTATCCTTCCAATGTTATAGTTTTGCATGCTATGATTAATAGTGTATCTGTGAATTATTCTTAGTTATTAAGTCTAAGCTGTCACCAATAGGGCAAACAAATACAACAAAACATGTGTGAACATTAAAGATATAATAGGAATAACAGACTGATGATGTCAGCAGTGAACATAGAATGAGGATACAGACATACACATTATATTCAAAATCACATACTTCTTTTTCACAGCGTCTTTTCTAGGCATTATATTTTTTTTTCAAAAATAAATAGGCCTGTAGAAATTCCATACAACTGGCACATTCTTTGTTGGTTACACCTACATTCACCCATGTTAGCTGTTAGCTGTCATCTGTCCCTATTCTCCTCCCTCCTATTATTAGGCTGGCTAAAAGGAGAAAAGAGTCTGCCTGTCCCAAGTATTCAAAAGTACATACCCACGAGCACAAAAGTCTCTGAAAATATAAGAAACAAAATCTATTAATTCCCAGCTTAAAATTTATTTGAGGCCTTCCCCCAGTTTCCTAAGAGTCTACACAATTTCTTTTTGGATCTGAGTATCTCATTGGGTTCTTGATTTCATGAGAGCTTTAAATAACATAGCATGTGACTGTATTCTCTAGTATTTAAGATGAAAGAAAAAATTATCTGTTCACTCCAATGAAAAGTTGTTTAGTAAAAAACTGATAGCAAAAACTTACAGTGACACATTTCAAAACTGTTTCAAGAAATCAAACTTGTATCTTTTTAAACACCAATACAACTAGATATTCCACTTGAATCAGTCTTTTATAAAACTGTTTATTCTGCCTCATAATAAATAAACACATAAAGTATTTATTATGAATAAGTTATACACTTTAGCAGGTTTATTATCTCTTAGGATATTAATGATCCATTTATTCAAAATCAAAATGGCTACAACAGCACTCTAAAAAAAATTTACACACAATTTCTAAGTACATCGTCCTTACAATGTATGTGTATTGAAGTAATTGTTTCCCAATCATAGCAGTTGTTAATTTCTAAGAATTAGGTGAATCGATACTATTTTTAATGCATATGTTACACCCAAATGAATGATGCACATTTGCCTCTTGGCATAAATTATTCTTATAGTACAGAAAATTTTGGAGTACAGATAAGAAAATCTTGTCAATTTCGAGTTGAAAGAGTCTTTGAGGGCTATTTCTACTTTTCAGGACATTGCAAATACTGAGAACACTGTTATCTCTAGCAACTGTTAATATGTCAAAACGCAGTGAATCATAAAATCGGAAAGTTTCGCTAGAAGTAACCTTAGTGATCATCTAGCCCATTGGTTCTCAACACTTGCTGTATATTAAAGCCGCCTAGAGACCTTTAAAAATTAAGCCCTAGGGTGGGGTCTGGGCATTATTACTTTTCCACTGCTCCGCAGATGATTCTAGTATGCAGCCAGGGTTGAGAATCTCTGATCTCTCCCCACCACTTCATTTTATAGATGAGGAAAGAGAAGTGCAGTGAATTTAGGAAAATTGTTTTAAGTCACAGAGTGAGAAGCAAAGCTGGGCTTCTCATTTCCAGCCTAGAGATTTTTTAATGTTAAATTTTAATTGTAATCTGCTTTAAAACAGAATGCAATGGACATGTCCTATGAAGTTATAAGAAGATCTGAATGTCATGCTTATTTACACCTGCAAACATTGTGGCACTATTGTCACAGTTTTAACAAAGTATGAGGTATCGATCGATAAAAGATAGTCATACTCTATAGCTCACATCTTATTTTTTAAGTGATACATCCTATGACACATTACAGAAAAACATTGATTTTTATACCAATTTTTCATGACAGAAAGCATCTCCTATTTCCTCAGTGAGATCATTTACTGTTTGAGAGTGATATAGAAGTTTAAATTCCAAATTCTGAAAGCATGATAATGGGTAATAGGTAAAAGTTATAAGTTCTTTTTTCCTTCTAACAATGATATCCTCTGTATTTTGACTTAATGGAAGATAGTGATTCAAAGTTATTTTTATATCAATTATCATGATGTTACATACAGGGTATTATAAATACTATAGTATTACTAATAAATACATTTTAC